AAAATAGAAATGGAATATATTTGTGAGTTAGGAACATTAACATGGACAGAATGTATTTCAGTAAATGAGAGTGGGATGAAAGTATGAGCAATAGCTTCAGGCTCAGCTGGCAAGGCTGGATGGAGAGAATTATACCTACCTTTTCTATCCTAATGTTTCCTTTAATCTGCTAAAGTTAAGATTCACCTGGATTGTAAGTATGCCAATTACCAAGATTCCATCCTGCAAATAATAGCTCAAGTAGGTCTGGGATTCCGCAAGTAATCTGATTTGTGTAACAGCTCCATATAGTTTTACCTTCATACATGTTGAAAAACACTATGCAGGAGCATTTGTTACAGCTCATCTGAATTTACATGTGGAAGTGTTAAAGTTAAACTTGTTCTGGGCAAAGTGCAATTTTTAAAGAAACATGGAAGACTATTCAGAGCTATTCCAATAAGGGACAGAGGCTGGAACGTAGGCTGAACTTAATTCCACTGAAACACAGGCTGAGCAAGTTCTTAAGGGCTGGGATAAACTACCAGAAAAAGAACTGGAAGGTATCAGGTGGAGATTGGCCAATGGGGTGTGTCAAGCACAATGATTTACTTCAGCAAATGTCTTTCTCTGTGATCAGGCCACCTGCATTTGCTAATTGGTATTTAATCAAAATCAGCCTCCAATCCTCTGATGGGAGTGCTGTCTTCCTTGCTGATACTTCAAAAGAATGGCTCCAAGTCCTTGAGAAGAATAGTTCTAGATTGCAACATGACAGGAGCACAGGAGAGGATTTGCATCTAAAAGGAATAAAGAAAAAAAAGCTTATAATTACAAGTTTTCTACAGAAAGGGTCTGAGGAGAGAAATATTAAGGTCTATTGTCAGAAGAAATTTATCTGAAATTTAGTCAACTTCATGAATCCACATACAGTCTTTTGCATGTGGATAACCAGTTTTCCCAGCACCATTTGTTAAAAACATATTTTCCTGTTAGCATGTGTTTTGTCCCTTTGCTAAAGATCATATAGCTGAATTTGAATGAGGTAGGTTTGTGCTTTTTTCTTAACAAATCATTTTATTTGTGATAGAGTTAAATGACTTTTTGATCATATCTTTTTCTACTATTGTTTTGTGTGTAAATCTCTTGTCACAGCCAACGTCCCCATAAAATTCTCCCATCCATCACAATCACAACCGCTCAAAATGTCTTTAGTAAACAAGCATACGAAGCAATGTTAGCTATATAGAGAAACGTAAAATCAATATACAATAATCTCATTGAGTCATCCTCTATTCTGTTCTATGGATCGACATGTCTATTGTTATTTAAGTATCGTGCTATATTTATTATTGTAGCATTGTAATACAACTTAAAGTGTAAAATTTTTAAAAAATGAAGTTTAGTCAACCCGAGGTCATGTTGGTCAAAGGTACAGTACAACAACTATCGCCACATGTACTGGTACAGCTACAACTACTACTATTATTATGGTGGACTACACAATAGAAAACAGAAAGAAAATGTAAATATTAGGACTATCAGAAAATGAAAATTAATGTGATTTCCTAATTTAAGGCTGAGAATTGGAAAGTAGATGCAGAAGCAGGAACAACAATGTTGAACCTAGATGTTGGGAAAATAGAGATCTATTGATAGAAATGCAAGTTCCAGGTGGTTGGTGGGAGGCTGGTGCTAAATAACCCAAGTCAACCTGCGTCTAACGCTTCAGTTCCTGCAGGAGAAGTGGAACCCTATAGGCAGCGCTGATGGTTGATGAGAGTTAGGGGACTAGCAGCTGTGGTGGACAGCTCCTCTGTCCTGTGGTCTTCTTTAGTAGAGCTCTGCAGACCAGCTCTGCATTGTCTATTTATGATCAGTATCTGTGTCTTCACTTCAAACACACACACACACACACACACACACACACACACACACACACACACCATGTATGCTGTAGCATATCGAAGTAAGTTTTATTCATTTTTGTAACTAAGCGTTAATGGAAAACTGATTTTTTTTCTTCTAATCCCAGCTGAATTAGAAATTCTTCAGAAAAATTGAGTAGGTGTGGGGGTCATGGCTGTTAGAGATAGCTGGAGAATGATAACTGAGGAAGCGGCACCTGAAGTCATGGGAGTAGATGAGATTTTTCATTAAGTGTCTGGGGGTGTATGATGCCACTGTACCTTGCTTTGTTCTCTCAAGAGCATAGGTGTAAAAGGGGATGAAAAAGGGAAGGAGAAACAGATCAACTGATAGTCTTATTAAGCGAGAGAGAATGGTTCGAGCGTTGGCTGCTCCAAAGAAGTCTACGGTGCTAGGAATCAGAAGATACGATCAACTTGCTCTTGGAACACTTGCCGGGGAAGAATGCCAGTAGCGTGTTCTGGGGGAATCGCATGCAGTGAGAGTGAGAAGGAATGAAGGAGCCAGGAGTGCAGATGGCTCTGTTAGGAAGCCTGGCCTTAAAAGAAATTGAAGGGAAAGCAAAAGAAGCATTATAAGATAAAGTTACTGGAGGCATGTGATATTAATGTTTTCCTTCCCATTACTTTTTTAGTGATTGAAAATGAGTGAGCAGGCAGATAAAGACAATTCCACTCAAGAAGGACAAACAGATCAAAGTTCTTCAGAGAAAAACTCTCAGATTGGACAGAAGCAACTGGTATGAACTATGTATTTTAAGACTGTAGTATCTGCTGAGTTCCCACTTGGGGATTTCTGAGGTGCTTGTGGATTTGGTGAGAGGACAGGCACAGTCAGAACTCCACAGGAAGGGTCTTTGTTCTCTGGCTGATGGAGTGGTCTCACTGACACATTTCCTCCTTGTTGCTGGTTGTGTTCTTTGATTTTTTTTAGCTCAGTGGGTTTTTTGGTTTTGTTTCTTTGTACTTCTTTGAAACAGTATCTTACTATGGAGTCCAGGCAGGTCTTGAACTCACTGTGTAATAGCCCTGGCTGGCCTCAAACCCACAGTGATCTTCCTACCTCAGCCTCCTGAATGTTGGGATTATAGGTGTGTGCCACTATGCGCAGCATTTATTGTTTTTAACAATGAAATTTATCATCAGAATGGAATATTTGAAAAGAATATGTTCAAATGTTTTTATTTAACATCTACTTTGCTCTTATTATGTCATGGTTTTAAACTTTGGGTATAGTAATTCATATAATATTACAAAATATTATTGTTAGCCCCATTTAAAATGAGAAATGGAGGTTTAGAGAAATAGGAACTTGGCCAAGGGATGCTGCTAACAAGTATTAGAACCAAAATTCGAGCACAGCTTTCCTGTGAGTGACCTCAGGTGACCTGTGAAAATGGTTCATTACTCTCTTAACCCAGAAAATCCCAAAAAATCATGCAAATTGAGAGGCTCAAATATTTGGGTTCACTGTAAGAACATACGTGAAACTGCTCAGGCCATCAAGGGCATGCATATCTGAAAGGCCATCAAAATCTGAAGGATGTCACATTAAAGAAACTATATGCGCCATTCCAGCGTTACAATGGTGGAGGTGGTAGGTATGCCCAGGCCAAACTGTGGGACTGTACACAGGATCGGTGGCCCAAAAAGAGTGCTGAATTTTTGCTGTACAATGCTTAAAAATGCAGAGAGCAATGCTGAGCCTCAGGGTTTAGATGTAGATTCTCTGGTTATTGAACATGTCCAGGTGAACAAAGCACTTAAGATGTGCCGCTGTACTTGCAGAGCTCATGAGCTCTGTAATGATGAACCCATCCCTGAGCTCCCCCTGCCATACTGAGATGATCCTTACTAAAAAGGAACAAACTGCTCCTACACCAAAGGATGAAGTTGCACAGAAGAAAAAGATAGAAGAAACTGAAGAAACAAACACTTATGGCATGGAAATAAATTAAGCATAAAATAAATGCAAATAAAATTAATACTGTCTATTAGCAAACACAGGTAGGCTTATCTTGATGTTTCTGTCTTTAACCTATTACTATGCAACTGAGAATATCAGTATAACTGGTAATCAGTTTTACATATTTAATACTTAAGTTCAGTGCTATTTCACAAGGCTGTTAGTAAAACAAGCCCATACACATAGCAATGTAAAATTTTAAAGAAACACTATTTTGTGCTGCTTAGATCTATTAAGCTAAATAAACTGAAGAAAAGCCTAGAAGAGTCTGTTATTTAATTTGTTACATTGAAAGTGTCCCTTTTGTTCCAGGTATATCATTTTCAAATATGTATCAGCCCATACATTTTTAGGCTACTCAGATTATTTTCTTCTAAAATCTGTCAAAAAACCATTCTCTTGCTTTGTGACTTATGTGTTACACTAAGAAAAAGGCATTGGTATTTGATGAAGCAGTTTTTGCTTGCCTTCCCCACCAGGCTCCATTTAATATCTAAATACTGTGTAAACTCCCGAGAAACTTTTCAAAATTTCCCCTAACACTCTAGAAATTCACTCTAGCAGGATTATTCTTGTGTAAACCTGGCTTTGACTTTGAGTAGACCCTTCAGGGATTGTGTTCTGAACTGAAGTTCAAATAACATCCCCACTGCCCAGTCAGGGAATGCTTCTGAAACCTATCCCAGAGCCTAGAGCAGGACTTTGTGTGCTTGGCATTCTCACTGTCACTGGGGACAGTGGATCAGCTAACACATAAAGAAGGGCCTTTGTTCTCTTATTCTGATCACCAGAAAGTGCTATTTCTAATGTTCATTTTCATCCAATTTGAAAAGCTTGCTGGTGTTTTGCAGCCAAAAATAAGTCTTCAGGCCGGCCAGATAGCTCAGCGGACTAAAGCACCTGCTTCGGCAGAGTGCACCCCGGTGTGCCATGCTAGCCCTGCCCCTAGGGTGCGCTGAGAAGGCGACTGAGATGGCGTGGTGGCACGCACCTGTAATCCCAGCACTTGGGAGGCTGAAAACAGAAGAATCACTTTGAGTCCTATCTACATAGTGAGACCCTGTAGATCCTGTAGACCCTGTTCTAAATTCATTAAAAAAAGAAGTCTTCTGTTCATCCTTGATTCTTTTTTATATTTTTATTATGAGTTTCATACTACATATTGCTTTATTTACAAAGAATTGCTTAATTTGAAAATATATTATCTTTTGAACATTAATAAGACTAAGCTGTTTATTTCTCTGTGTAAAACAAGTATTATGCTGTCATGATGGAAACTATAGAGTTCATTCTGAGACAGCGTAAAATAAATAAAAGTATTTGTCCCTCACTGGTAAAGCATTTTGTTTGTTGTGCAGCAACAAATAGAACGGCAGCTGAAATGCTTGGCATTTCAAAACCCTGGACCACAGGTAGCAGACTTCAATCCTGAAACAAGACAGCAGAAAAAGAAGGCACGGATGTCAAAGATGAATGAATATTTCTCTGTAAAGTACAAGTAAGGAAATTATTTAATGTATTTGATTTGGGGGCTTTAAAGTGTACAGTTTTCCCTGATAAAGCAAAATAACTTCATCTTTTATGATTTAAAAATATCTTCAAAATTTACAGCAGCACTTCTTATGTGTGAAAGCTGACAGTTTCAAGAAGTAGACTAAGGGCTCGGGGTCTAGCTCAGTGAGACAGCACTTGGCCTGCAGGATGGAGACCCTGGGCTTCATCCTTAGCATTGGAAAGAAGGCTAGACTAAGCAACCAGTAAAGAAAATGTCAATAAGAGCCAGAAAGATAACTCAGACTAAGTGCCTGCTTAGGCAAACACAGGAACTGGGGTCCAATCCCTGGCACCACATACTTCACTGGCCCTGCCCCTGGGTACACTGAGCTGGTGCTGGAGTCTGGGTGTGGTGGCGCTAGCCTATAATCCCAGCACTAGGGGTGCTGAAAATAGGAGGATCAGTATGAATTCAAGCTGTGTAGGTAGACCCTGCACACACACAAAAATAAAATGTCAATAAACCCAACTACAATAATATTATAAATTTATTCAAAGATATATTTAAAACAGTGAAACACATTACAAAATGGGTAAAGTAACATATCAGTACCCAAAATTTCTAAAGAATCTTACAAGTAACTAAGATAAATGTAACTCAAGATTGATGAAAATAATGAACAGTTATTTTACATTAAAAAAAGCTAGTAAACATTCAGAATACTAACCTTCTTAGTATATCATGAGGAAGTGCCACACTTCTCAGATGTATCAAAGTTGATGAAGCTGGGGGACATGAACTGAGTGTAAAATGGTACCACCGCTGTTTAAGAACAGCTTGCATTTCTTATGTGCCCTTTGACCTCACATACTCATTCCTTGGTATGTACTAGAAAAAGGTTTATATATACAGTAGGAGAGACACATTGAAGAAGTTTCATAATAGCACTGTAATAGCAAAGACAATAAAGTGCTAGAGCCAGCCAAATATCTCAGTGGATTAAAGCTCCTGCAAGCAGGCTCAGGGGCCAGGTGTTCTATCCCGAGGGCCTGCCATGCCAGCCCCACCCCCGGTGCTTGCTGAGACGGCAATTGAGACTGGGTGTGGTGGCGTGCACCTGTAATCCCAGCTCTTGGGAGGCTATAAACAGGTGGATCACTACAAGTCTGATCTAGTAGTGAGACCCTGTAGACCCTTCTTTAAAATACAAAAGAAAAGAAAGTGCTAATAATCTGGATGATCAATAATGGAAAAAATAATAATATCAATAATGGAATATACAGAATGGAGGACACACTGAAGTAAACATGTTGGATGAAACTAAATATGCTAACATGAAAGAATCTCAAATCAAAACTCTCAAAAATTACAAAAGAAAATTCACAATATCCTTCGGGAGCTATACATACGTGACTTAACTAAACACAAAACAAGGGTGTGATTGTCATAATGTGAAGGTGTAGTTCCTTTTGGAAAATGGGAGATGGATACAATGATATGAGTGAGGAGAGGATTGCAAAGGTATAATTATTTATGTGTGTAATAAGTAGCTATTACTCAGGATTTCATGACAATAGCATTATATATGAAGAAAACCATACAATCTGTGTCTGGATGTCTAAGTCAAGGAAGAAGAATGTCTAGGTTCAGGCAAAGGGGGAAAACACAGAATCAGGCCTGTGCTTTCCTCTTTTTTCAGGAATATCAGTGTTCATCATTCTTATAGTTAAATTGGAGTGTCCCCCCCATTTTATGTACTTGGTACAGGGTCTCACTACGCAACTTGGACTCATAACAATCTCCCTGAGTCCAGCCTCCCCAGTGAGAGGCACCACCAGGCCAGGACTTGGTCGCTGGCTCAGCATGCCCCAGGGGTGGGGCTGGCACAGCATGTAAGACCAGGGATCGAACCCTAAATTTGAGTTTTTCTAACAGAATTTCCTGGATGGGATTTAGAAAGATGCAGTCTTCAGATGAAGCAATTTAAAAATAAATCTTCATTAGAAGGCATGTCTGGGGCCTGGGGAAATAGCTCAGTAGAATAAGCACTTGCCTGGCAAGCGCAAGGTTCTGAGTTCAATCCCCGGTACCACACACACACAAAAAGAAGGCATTTCTGCTGAAATATGATAATCAGGTGGCAAGTACACAAAGTGACTGTTTCTCACTTAGAAACTTCACTGAACAGAAAGGGGAAAGGCAAAGGGTGCAGAGGGTATAGAAGCTGACCATACTGCCGGAGGGCTAGTTTTTTCAAATTCAACTAATAATAATGGATACAAGCTATACACAGATGTTCGTGTTATCTAAATATTTCAAGCAGCTCAGGTTTGTAAGACATATTTTGAAATATGTTTGGTTTAGGGACTGGTGGAATGCTTACAAAGATCTCTTTCCTTTGCATGTATTATCGAGGCTAAGAGAACAAGTGGGAAGCCATGGCCCAGTCTGCATGCTGGTGCTTTTCTCTGTCATGAAGCATCTTGCCTTCACCAAGAAGTATTTTTGTAACCTGTATTCTCCATTCACATTGTAAAAAACAGAATCAAAAGGAAACAGAATAATGGTGCCTGGAGACTCTTGCAAAAGAGCAGGGTTTTGTTTTTTAATTTTTAAATTTGGTCTTCACATGGTTGAGGTTCAGTAACTGATGGCTCTCACTTTGAGTCATTAAAAATGTAGCTTTGCTCAGAATAGTGCTTTCAGGGGAAAAAGAATGGCCATGTTTTAAAGAAATATCTGTAGGCTTCCTAAGAGAAAGCTTCATCACCTATTCCTTATAATTTCCTGAGGTGCGTTGTTACATTGTCTAGCAATGCAGGAAAAATGAAGTTATCCTCCATGACAAGCCTGGCTTTGCTGGAAGCGGTTTCATTACAGGCTGATGAATTTCCCATGATGTCACTGCCATGCACTATTCTGGGGGCTGCTGGGTAATTGCAGTGAGCCATTCTCTCAGAGAAAAAGAGCGTGTGTAGGAAGCTGCTTTGCAACCCTGTGTTGACAGCTGCTGTGCTAGCATCTTAATGTCATTCTTTCCTTTGTAGAGTTGTGAAAAAGTATGACAAAAGTGGCAGGCTAATTTGCAATGACATGGATCTGTGTGACTGCCTCGAGAAGAACTGCCTGGGCTGCTTCTACCCCTGCCCCAAGTGTAACTCCAACAAGTGTGGGCCCGAGTGCCGCTGCAACAGAAGATGGGTTTACCATGCCATTGTCACCGAATCTGGAGAGGTCATCAGCTCACTGCCATTCAACATTCCGGACTAGAAGCCGATATGAGTGAATTGATTTGTTTCTTCTTTCTGTACATAGTTAAGCATTTTCTTTTGGGAAAATTTGGGGTTTGGACAAAACATTGGAAAAATTACTTAAGATTCATGTTCTTTCAAGCTGCAGAACTCTAGAATTGGCAGTAATTCTATAAACTTCTGTATCTTCTCAAATTCCTTAGCTATAACTAGCGGGTGTGATGGTAGACGGATCATCTTCTGCTCTCAGAACCGCCGTCTTGACTCTGCCATTATGTTACAACTCTCTTCCCTCTTGGCTGGTGTCTGAAAATATGTGATTTTAAGATTTTCAGAACTCTGTAATTGAGAGCTTTCTCACATAGAACTAGTGGCATATTCCTGTAATCCTAGCACTCTGGAGGATGAGGCAGGAGGGTCACTATGAGTTCGAGGCCAGCCTGGGCTACACAGTGAGTCCAAGGGCAACCTGAACCATGTAGCAAGACCCTGTCTCAAAAAAAATGTGTATCTCTAGGTCTAAATTAGAATTACCATTTAATTACAAAATGAGTAATCCTTGTATCTTTGCACTGTATAACTTTAGCCTCATTTTTTTATGTTTTCATAGTACCAAAATTAAATTTGTTAATATCTGTTAATATTTTCATTATTAAACATTTGTATTTTTCTTATAAAATTAAGCAAAAATTCTAAAAGGTATTGGTTTACATTTTTAATTCCAAGATCAGTATTTCAGGATTTTATTTCAATAGGAAAAAACTTTAGTAAATACACAAAAATTATTTATTGTCAAGTATATGGATAAGTAATTGAAATCTGCTGTAGTTTTTTTCAGTTCTGATACAATGTGGTAAGTGTAGAGAAGACTGAATTTGGACTGCTGCAGCTCCTTTTTATGACAATCTTTCAGTCAGTGATTCTTACAGTTGAATCTGAATCATCTGGACAACTTGCTAATTCGTAGTTTCTGGTTCACTAGATTTGGGACCTGGCTCAAGAATTTGCATTTCTGTAACAAGGGTAAGGGAAGGGGGAAAAGAAGGAAAAAGGAAAAAAAAATACAAGTTAGCTATACTACTGATATCTGTTAGCTCATTGAAAAGGAAGGTTTGTGCTAATGTCAGTTGGAAAATTTTTTATGCCTATCTTGTAGTCTGAGTAACTACTTTAAAGATAACAATATACAATGCATCCACTATTGTTATTTTCCTAGTATCTCTTTATAAAAGTGTTTTACTTTTTCTATAAATAAAAAACTAAAATAAAATAAAAAGAATTTGCATGCTGAGCTGGCTACCAAGACCAGGTGTGGTGGCGCAAGCCTGTAATCCTAGCGCTGGGGAGGCTGAAAGAGGAGGATCACTCTGAGTCTGAGCTGTGTAATAAGACCCTGTACCAAATACATAAAATTAAAAAAAATTCTTTGCTCTTGTAACAAATTCCCAGGTGATGTTAATGTTGCTGTGAGAACCACACTTTGAGAGCTACTTCCCTAAGCTATACCTAAGCGATAGTAGATACATAATATAAGGAAATGTTTAAATAATGTACTATATTTAAAAAATAAATAAGAGCAATTGGTCTTAAAACAAATTTCAAATGCTATAGAGTTTTCAGGGCTTATTGCTCCAACATAAAACACTCATTTTTGCACAAGCTATGTATGCTGGGAGAGCCTCTGACCATGCTGGACTCAGGGCAGGTCTGGCTTGGCTTGAGGATGAAGGAATTGAACTACAGCATCCTGAGCCTGACTGCTTTGTTTCAGCAGGCACTTAAACACCTGAGCTAATCAGCAGGCTCCCTTGCCCATATGTTTTAAGATGAAAGCAACAAAACCCCTTAGGAACCCGTGCTGTGTGCATAAAATCCTTATCCATGCCACAAGAGAGCTTAGATTGCTTTGTGTCATGTTCCCAGAACTTAGTGAATCTTCTAGATTCGACTCACTTTTACCGAGCATTCACCATGAGCCCCCTGCTCCATGTTCCCATGGTATTAGTTTTAAACATTGCAGCCCCATGAGGACAGCGTGACATGTAATTACTCACAGCCTTTGCGACACTCAGATATGGGACCAGGAAAAAGCTCCTTTCCTGCTGTTAGCTTGAAAATATTATTATTCTGTGAATGTGTTGCTTTGCCAAAAATAAAATAAAGTTATTTACTTTGGAATCAGATAATTTAAAAACCCAAAGCAATGTTACATGCATCTATCCATTTAGTCAATCCTGCAACAGGACACTGCTGTATGAGAGGCAGCAGGCTAGGCACGGTGGAGAGTGAGGGCAGGGAAATCCACCTCCTTTCTGTCTACAGGGATTTGTGGAATGAAATCAATTTAAAAAATTTTTTTTGCTTTGATTTTTCATTGTAAGAATTGAGAAAATTTAGATCCAGTGAATAATGATGTTCATAAGGACCTGGAAAAGCTGGTGAACACTAAGACCAGGTGAGTTCTTTTCATGACACTACAGATTACCTCAATTGCCCTGATCCTAAAACACATCAAGGGACTTTTAGCAGTGCGGAATCAAGACCTCCAGGACTGAGACCTCAGCATTCGTGTTTTTACACAAACACTGCAGGTAAGTCTCGTGATCAGGTAAGTTTGAGAAACACTACTTTATATGATCTATTGTACTGTTTTTATACTAAAAAATACTCCTAGGCCAGTTTGTATTCAATCTCTTTTCCTTCTGTCTTCTCAGTCAGCATTAAGGTAAGCTGGTTTAAAGTAACCTACCTGGGGCCGGGGAGATGGCTCACTGGAATAAGCGCTTCTCTGGCAAGTGCAGGGGCCTGAGTTCAATCCCCG